CAGAAATCCTCCCAACAAACAGTCCTGCTGTGTATTGAAGTCTTTCAGTTTGAGTCTACAAGATGCCAGGCTTGATTTATCTGCTATATCTTGATGGGATTTGTGTTTCTTTGCAAGAAGCAGAAAGCTTTTCTGTTGGTAAGAGCTGCAGTACAACATGATGTTGTCATGCTGGACAGCAGGAGTGGATTAATGGACATTTATTAGCTCACCTCGCTGCTTCCTAAGCAATGGCTGAACATCGTTTCTGTTAGCTTTTTTTTAACCTTCTAAATCCATAATGATCCACTAAATTAGTTCATTATTTTTAGCTGAGTACAGTTAGACGTTTGGGATTACGGGACATATGCTCTGTCAAGTAATTTCCACTGTCCACTGCAATCTTCAGAGGCCACGTATTTAATAATTACAAAAACTATTACTAAACGATATATATATATATATATATATATATATATATATATATATATATATATATATATATATATATATATATATATATATATATATATATATATATCAGTTAAAGTCAGAATTATTAGCCCTCCTTAGAGCAAGGAAATTTTCAAAATATTGTTTATTTGGGAAGGTATTCAGACAACTAAATATTTGGCTAAAAAGGAGAAACTGCTGCTTAAATTTAAGGGGAAACACATTTATCATTTGGGTAAGATTAGCAAATGAATATATTCTATTTATTCCACAGAAAGAGCTTTTTTGGTCATAAATTTAGATGATAAATTTAGACGCTGTGTTCTAAGGAAAAATTATGCAATAATAACCTCTAAACTAGTTGACTATTGTTTTATTTTTTATTGCTTTTTTAGTATGTCATCTGTAACACTCTGCCATGTATTTCTTCTTAAATAATCAATTAATTTACAATCAAATCAATATTTCATACCCTCTTTATTAATTTATTCGGCACTCTCATAAATAAAGGTACAAAATCGTGTCACTGGGGCATATCTTTATTTAGGTACATTTTTGTTCCTAAAATGTATATATTAGCAGCATGTTGGTGCAGTGGGTAGCACAATTGCCTCACAGCAGGATGATCACTGAACCCTAGCTGGGTCAGTTGGCAATTCTGTATGGAGTTAGCAAGTTCTCCCATGTTCTCTTTGGGCACAAAATTGTACCCTAAATGGACTAATGTTCACCTGTATGGTACAAAAGTGTACCACCCCAATGGCAGATGTAGTACCTTTATTTCTGAGAGTGTGAGGACAAAATATTTGCACTGGGGTCCTGGTCACATTCTGCATGCTACATTTTGTGATAATGAACAGCTGACTGTAAAATACCCATATATTATTATTAATTTGTCCAAGCCTAGAACTAGAACATTTAATCAAAAAGTAAGTGGGTCAAATGTAGGATCTGAGCTTGTGGCAAAAATTATGCCAAAATGAACAAAAGTGTCTCAAAATCAAGATAAAGTGAAAAAAAAGATAATTGACTGAATGACAGAACATTCATTGCATTACAGTCTGTTCAAGATGCATCAGATTTCCTTTAATTCTTTTTTTTTTTTTGCAGTAATGAACCTTATAATTAATCATGTTTCTGAGTTTATGAATGCAATAGCCAAAGCATTGTGATTAGTCACTGATGAAAAACAGGTTTTGTTGAGGGATTTTTGGTTTGACTGAATTCTTTGTGTTAATTTTTAGAAACAATAAAGTATATAATGAAAGTAGTAGACTAATTACAAATAAAAAAGGCACATTTCAAGGCATTTCATGGGACCATTAAAGTCCATGGAAATTCAACATTTACAATGTTTATTTTGCTAGGTCACATTATTATTTAATCTGTGCAGGTTAATTCACTTGAAAAAAAACATTTGTTTTTAAATTTTAAATCAAAATCTGACCATTTGATCTGCATTTGGAGTGACTGTCCTTCTCTGTTAATGTCAGTTTGATGTCTTCAGCCACAATATTCTTAACCACGCCCCTCTTACCATTTACTAAGAGGGAATGATGCACAAAAAGAAAGCCCCGCCCCCTACTCAATACTCTATTTTCATCAACACACTGAAAAAGCCTCAGCAAGTTCTAATTTACGCAGACTTTAAGGAGAGTTTTCTTGCAATAATTGGCAAAAATATTAGCAGCCCTGCCCTGAGTTCCTTTTTTGAAAATATCAGATACAGTTTTAAACAGTTTGTTGTAATTGATAACAATTTATATGGTCGCACTTTACAATAAGGTTCATTAGTTAATACAATAAGGTTCATTAGTTAATGTTACTTAATGCATTTACTAACATGAACAAACAATGAACAATACATTTACTACAGTATTTGTTCATGTTAGTTAACATTAGTTAATGAAAATACAGTTGTTCATTGTGAGTTCGTTAACTCACGGTGCATTAACTAATGTTAACAAGCATGAGTTTGGATGTTAATAATGCATTAGTAAATGTTAAATTATGATTAATAAATGTTGAATAAGTGTTGTTCATGATTAGTTCATGTTAGAAAATGCATTACCTAATGAACCTTATTGTAAAGTGTTACCATTTATATTAAGTGGTTAATTGTAAGTATTTGACATAAAAGAAAACAGAAATACAATTAATGAAGTGATTATATATTACAAGTGATTTTGACTGGAATCATTTATTTTCTTCTTTTAGATCCATTAAGACATTTAGGGCTCTATTTTAACAATCTAGGCGCAAAGTCTAAAGCTCATGGTGCAAAAGAATTAAGGGTGTGTCCAAATCCACTTTTGCTATTTTAAGGATGGAAAATACATTCTGCGTCCTGGCACATGGCCTAATGGTTGTGCTTATTCTCTTAATGAGTTATGGGTGTGTTTTGAGCATAACGTGCATTAAACCAATCAGAGTCTCATCGCCCATTCCCTTTAAGTGTCAGGTGTGTCACGCCATGGCACATTTGCTGTTTACATGGCGGACTTTGTAAGTGGAAAAACTGAACGCTTGACTAGAGAGAAAACAGCTAAATAGACCATCTGCAGCAAGATAAAGAACGAGCCTCCTTCATTCGGCTGCTTTACTTTTTCTTTAAGTAAGAAAACGGTGTTGTACACACTCCACTGAAGACATCCATTAGCCTACATATTTAATTTCGTTTAAGCACAAAGACTTGTTTCAAATACACAAATAAATGAACAATAATAACAAAGTGTGGTCAAAAATATTAATATGTTTATCCAAACACACGTCCTATACCCATATGCTGACGCATACCAAAACCCAACAGGTGGAAAAATCTAAAGTTGTTTTTATTAAAACAAATATAAATATGCATATAATAAATAATACTGATAATAATAATAACATACTAATGCAAATTGTCATAAATAAACTGAAAAAAAACAACAACATGAAGAAGGCATGGAGGCAGTGGTTTTTATATGTAGAAAATAATAATTTTTTAAAACTTTTTAATCCTTTTCATATTTAAAGATATTTGTGTATTGCTGTACATTCTGTGTGTATAAAGTAAAGTGTACGTGTTTTGGACCTGCATATGCGCATAACTAACGCAGACTTTAGTTGGTCAATGGCGCAATCTATTTCAGTTCCTCAAAATAGCAACGCAACAATGCGCCTCAATACACCTCCTTTTTAGACCAGCATTCTTATGAGTCCACAAAAAGGTGCAAATGGATTTTCTATTTAAACAATGTTGCGCAAACTGTGAAAATTTGAGTTTTGCTGGTCTGAAAATAACAACACAACACACCAAACACGTCTTGCTCCTTATTGCTCTGTGTGTATGATAGGGCCCATTGTCTTTTCAGGACTAATTTATTTTCTTTTTTGGAAACCCCTTTTTGGTTAAATGTTTAAAGTATTTGTATATATATATATATATATATATATATATATATAAATTGTTTGTACTTTTGGACTTTATGTTTTTGTTTGCTTAAGCTATAGATTGTTGGAGGTGGTTCAGGTGAAGTTTGCTTGTATGTTTTGTTTAGTCGTCTGTTTGTTTTGATTTGTTGTACTATGTTTTGATTTATGTACTAATGCCCTGTTTAGACTGCATGATTTTCAAAGTAGTTGCATCACAATTGTTTACACGCTGCATGACTATCTAGGGTAGCGTTTCGTCGCTGCTGTGTTTACAGGGGGTTTCACATTGTATGACTTTACAATAGGGGAATCGCTGACAATTACTTCTCATAACCAAACATACGCGAGAAGTTACATGGTACAATGCGAGGTAACATAGTATATTTAATGTAAAAGAAGCCTTTGGTGTGTTATAAAATGTATTTATTTTGCTCACCTCGGTTTTTGAAGGGAATTAGCAACTTCTCCTCTACTTTTTTCTTTTCGAGCCGGTTGTGGTCTTGTTCAGATGACACGTCAAACAGACATGGATGCTCCTGCCAAATTTCCACTAGTCTTTCCTCCATTTCTTGGGTCTAAATAGACTAAAAAGAAGCCTTCAACCTCCCGCTGACTTGCAGATAGCCATTCTAGTGGATGCTGCTTCTCTCATTTGCTGTAGGTAATCGCTGATGTTATTTTGAATCAGAACTCATTTCACACAGCATGATGTTGAATCGCCGACAACTCCAGATGTTTAGCATGCCAAATATCTCATGGGTGTTGGCGACACCCAATAATAGTTCACTTACTCACATGACATGCACTATTTTGCCTGTGATTTCAGGCATTTATCTGCGATTTCTCAAAACCTGTCGCTGAGTCAAAATAATGGCTAAAATCATGTAGTCTGAACTCGGCATTAGGAACACCCTCAAAAAGGGGCTATCCCATTTTATAAATTCAAATTCATAACAAAAATTCCTTATGAAAGAGGGCACTTTTTTTTTTTTGAGTGTGTATTTGTGATTAATGTGTTTTAGCATAGAGCAGGTGGTGGAAATGGAGTTTGATTTCACAGGGATTGTGCTGACTGAACAGTTTGACAAGAGTCATTGGCTAATAAATTCTTAAAATGCAACAAAACGGCAATCTCACTCCGATCTGTCTCTTCGCAGGGCAGCGCCGAGGCGTGAATTATTGGAGGTGGATCCTGGTTTGGCTGGGAGTCTGGCCAACATTGTTCCCAAAGGACAGGAGTCTTCCCACAATCCCCAGCGCTGTGGCTTGGAGGAAAGGCCTGTGTCGAAGGACTTTGTGGACGATCCAGAAGTGCCTCCACTTATGTGAGCGAAACACACAGAGAGAGAGAGAGAGAATATGCTTGATATGACACAGCAAGAGAGCATAAGCATAATCACACTCTCTGCTGAGCTTGTGGAAGTGTGTGTGTGTGCGCAATGAAATAATGCAAGATATATTTAGCTGTCTTGGTTAGACGTATAGTTGAGCTGATGAGTAATTGAAAGGCTCATTAAAGCTGGCTGATGAATATTTCACCGCTGTAGATCCTTCACTTTCAATGTTCTCTGTCACACACACAGACATTCATTTATTGATAAACAGTCATGTCTGTTTTTGTTATAATGGTTTAATGTCAGATGTTGGCGTTAAACTAAAATGTTAATATTGTAATCAGTGAAGCTTTTTGGAATGGAAATGCCAGTTTTGTGTTTTGTTTCTGACAGATTTCCTTTTATTTTTGATGTGCTCTATGAATAAACACCAAAACCATGATAAAACACAAATAAATGACATACATTTTTATTTCTTTTAACTGGCTAAGAAAAAAAAAACTCATGTTCATTTTTTATCATTTTAACCTAAGGTATTAAAATAATTTCAACTAAATAAATAAATAAAAAACAACATTTTCAGTCATATTTGAATATTTTAAAACTTATTATGGTGGCACGGTTGCACAGTTGGTAGCGATGTCACCTCACAGCAAGAAGGAAGCCTCGGCTGGGTCAGTTGGCATTTCTGTGTGAAGTTTGCAATGTTCTCCCCATGTTAGTGTGGGTTTCCTCTCGGTTTCCCCCATAAGTCCAAAGACATGTGCTATAGGTGAATTGGGTAAGCTAAATTGTCTGTATGTGTGTAGTACATAGGAGTATATGGGTGTTTCCCAGTAACGGGTTGTGGCTGGAAGGGCATCTGCTGCGTAAAACATATGCTGGATAAATTGGCGGTTCATTACGTTGTGGTGACCCCAGATTAATAAAGAGACTAAGCCGAAAATAAATGAATGACAATTCACCTATATTACATGTCTTTAAACTGTGGGGGAAACCAGTGCATTTAGAGCAAACCCACATCAACACGGGGAGAACATGCAAACTCCAGACAGAAACGCCAACTGACCAGCCGGTACTCGAACCAGGCACCTTCCTGCTGTGAGGTGACAGTGCTAACCATTGAGCCAGCGTTAATAAATTATAAAAAAATATTATTATTAGAGCAGTGTGATTAGTCACTGATGAAAGCATCTTTACTTGCATTTAATATGCTTTTTATGTACATGAAATCACTTCTTTTTTTTTTTTTTACTTTTTTTTATGGGAACACCACAATGGGACATATTTGTTGCATTTATTTGATCTTTGATCTACAGGCATAAAAAAAAAACTCCTAAAACTAATAAAAATGACAAAAGATCAAAATTAAAAAATATTTAATTCAAATTAAAGTGAAAAAGTACAATTTAAAATATTAACAAAAACTATAGCAGTAAGGTACTAGTAATACTAAAATATACTATCAGAAAAGAACCTATAAAAAAACTAATAAAAATGACAAAACCACAAAATTACAAAATATTTTATTATAATTAAAGTAAATTCTTTTAGCAAAAAAATGAACAACAACTAAATCAGTAATGCTAAAATATTACAGCACTATCAGAAAATATCTTATGAAAATATTGTGTGAATCATGTCTGATTATTGCTGTTTATTACATTTGTTATATATTCTAATTTTGAGGCAGTTTTTGATGTTTCTAACCTTCAACCTATGCATTTAAATATTAATTTCTTTTCAACTACAAATAGTCATAGAAACAGTAGAACTATGAGTAAAATGCTTTCTCTTTTTTAAAACCGGTCCTGCAAAGTGAACTTTTCTACCAATGTATTTCCATCTGAAAATAAACTGCCGGCGAGGATTGGACTGTGGCTTGTAATCTTTTAAAATAGAGCTTCAACAACTCTACTGTGAACAAGCTCACATTAGCCCCTTTCACACATACAGACTTTTCTGTAAAATTACCGGCAATTTTCCGGAAAGGTCTGTATGTGTGAAGGGGCCCTTTTTGATAATACCGGTAAATTCGTTATGGCAATTTCCCGGAAAGAGTTGTAACGTTACCGGTAATTTGCCAGAATGCTGCGCTTTGAGAACGCAGAAGGAAGATTGCTGGAAAGAGCATGGTCACTCTTAGAACACGCTGACATGAGGCGTGTACTCCAGCCAATCAGAACATTCAGACACATTCACATCCGCGCTGTTTATGAAGATAAACATGAGAACATGAGTGGAGAACATGAGACTGATTCCAGTGATGCTCCAGGGACAAACAAGTCTTCGCTGAGGCCAGCATCCAGCCTCAGCCACTGAGACTGCAGCTCTGCACAAGACGTTTGGCCAGCGGAGAAATTAAAATGGTCGTGCCCAACTGAGTCTGGTTTCTCTCAAGGTTTTTTTTCTTCACTCGCCAATCGGTGAAGTTTTTTTTCCCTCTCCGCTGTCGCCTCTAGCTTGCATTGCATTGGGATCGGTAGAGCTACCCATCGATGAATTTGCTCTTCAGTGTTTGGACTCTCAGTAATGATTTTAAATCACACTGAACTAAGCTGAACTGAACTGAAACTTAAACACTAAAAACTGAACTACTCTGTTCCAATTTACTATGACCGTTTATGTGAAGCTGCTTTGACACAATCTACATTGTAAAAGCGCTAGACAAACAAAGATAAAACCCTTTGAATATTTTTCCAGACACATTTAGCTGCTAGATGATAGTCAGATAATGTTTCTATGTTCCTTCTTAATGTCAACTGTGTAAAAATGATCAATAAAATGCTTATGATAAGCTGTTGTTTGTTTAACTTCAAGCTCTGCTTGCTTCAGTTGCTTGACGCATGTGCACGTGAAGCAGCCGGTGAGGGCCTGCACACACATAAATTATGTATCTCGACATGCAAAGGTGTTCCCCCATATGTTTTTTTTTTTTTAATCAAAGTTGTTCACAATACTTATCCATTCACAGAGTTTGTAGTGTAGTCAAATGTTTACAAATAAAAGTGCAGCCTTTTAGAGGTCAATTCTGATTAATGATGTCAGAATTTACCGGTATTTTGGAATGGATGTGTAAATGGAAAAATTCCATAGCATCCTTGCCTCTGTGAATGGTACTTTTTTAATATACCGGTAAAGTCGTTCTGGTAATTTTTAGGGTATTTACCGGTATCACTGTGTGAAAGGGGCTATTGTGTTGTTGTGGTTTGTCTGGTTATCTCCTTTAGACTTTGTGGGTAGATGACATAGTTACATGATTTTTCATAAAATAAAAAAAAATCGAGGCTGCCACCAACTGCTTTTAAATATTTAATATCAGTCATTGCATCCTCCAGCTCTAGAGTGAGTAGATACATTATTTATTCAGCTTATTTCGTTAACTCAGGTGAATGGCTCAAAAGTTGACTACCAATGAGATCTTTATCTGTGTTTCATAAAGTACATTAAGGTCTCTGCCAGGTGCTAAAAAAGGTATTAAAAGTTGATAAATCAATGTAGAATAAATTCAAGGCCCTAAATAGTATCAAATGCTATTTTACAAGGTATTAAATTTTGTATAATTTTGATAACATAGTGTTTAGCTGTATGCTAAAATTATCTGGAATTTAATCTGCCAATATTAGAATGCTGTATATTTTATGACATCCTTAAATTTCTGCTAGATTTGACATCATGTTGGTTTGTTTACTGCAGTAACCTAAGCATCGTCATCATTCCTGCTGTACTAGCAAACTCCCTTTAAGGCTAGTCATTTCACTCGGTGGCCATCTTTGAAGGGCCTCTCGGGCCGTATGCTTGGGCGCCCTTTATTTAATTTCTAATCCTAAGCTTAGACTCAGATGCTTTGTTCAGGTGTTTAAATTGTTTTTCTGTTTTTCTTCTATGTTTCTTTATGTGTTGGAGGAATATGTGGAAATGTGTTGGAGATTTTAGTGCATGAAGGTAAATACTCTGTATTGTGTGTGTGTGTGTGTGTGTGTGTGTGTGTGTGTGTGTGTGTGTGTGTGTGTGTGTGTGTGTGTGTGTGCAGAAGAGGTCAGATGTGCACATAACTGCCAACAGATGAGCTCATTTCTCTGCGGTATTTCTATTTTCAGGGAACTAAGAAGAAATACTCACCCTATAGTTTACACTCCTTACAGCTCTCTCTCTCTCTCTCTCTCTCTCACACACACACACACACTCACACCACAGGTCAAACACACATCGCAGAACACACACACACACACAATGGTCAAACAAACATCACAGTATACACACATACACAAACATCTTTACAGCTCAGGGTCAGCAGGTACTGCAGCTTTCCTCAGTATTTCAGTGTTATTCTTCAGCGTTGTGTTTGTGTCCTTTGCCTGGTGTTTTATGTGTGCACCGGTGAATTATCGATATGTGCAGATGGGCTATGCTGGTTTAATTTCCACTTTTATTAAAACACCTGTCAGAACATGAGTAATTTACCTTGATGCTGACATTTAAACAGCCCCATGCTGCACTGGACTAAATCTTATGAAAGTCATATTAGAGATGCTCCAGAAAGGAGTTACATTATTACACATAAAAGAGCATCACTTAGAGATGATTTGAATTACTTTCAGGCTAAAAAGTTTTTAAAAATTATCGGGTGGTTTCAGCATTTTCTAAAATATGTACTACATTATTGTATAATGAAAAACTGTACAAAAACACACACATCCCTCTTAACTGGGTGCTCAGCCAAAAAACTCAAAAAGTGCTAATTATATATTCAAAAAAGGTGGCAACACCAAAGCTAAAAATGCAAATTTATTAAATTAAAAAGGCTGACACAAAGCGTGTAACATTTCGAGCCCACTGCTCTTTATCAGACAGTATTGTATAGTAATATGTAATTCATTTGCAAATTCAATAGTAAGTATAGCAATTCTAAAAGTTGTATGAAAAGTTAATAAATGTCTCGTTAAAGTAAATTACAAGAATGTCTAGTGATTATTTTCCTCCTTACACTGGCTGCCTGTTAAGTTCTGTATTGATTATAAAGTATTGCTTCTTACCCACAAAGTTTTAAATAATCTAACTCCTGTTTATCTAACCAACCTTCTGTCTCACTACAATCCAACCCGCTCTTTAAGATTTCAAAACTCAGGGCCCCTGGTGGTACCTAGAATAAAAGTCGAGTAAATGAGGTTGAGCCTTCTCATTTATGGCTCTTTTGGAAACTTTGAAATAGCCTTCCTAATAATTTTCGAGGCTCAGACACACTCTGTACATAATATATATATTTTATATAAATAAATTATTAGTTTCACTGTGGCCATTCTTGATAAAT